CAGATTCATAACATTCTAATGCTACGCATTCTTTCAATCCATGAGAACGGTATACCCTTCCATTTATTTATGTCTTTTTTTAACTTCTTTCACCGATGTCCAATAGTTTTCAGAGTTCAGGTCTTTCACCTTCTTGGTTAAATTTATTCTAGGTATTTTATTCTTTCTGATGCACTTGTAGATGGAATTTCTTCATTTCTCTTTCTGGCAATTTGCTGTTAGTGTACAGCAAGGCGACATATTTCTGAACATTAATCTTGTATCCACAGTTTTACTGAATGTATTAGTTCTAGTAGCTTTTCGGTGGAGTCTTTGGGGTTTAATAGATGGAGTGTCATGTTACCTGCAAATAAGGACAGTTTTGCTTTTTCCTTTCCAACCTGGATGCTTGTACTCCTTTTCGCTGTCTGACGGCTTTTCGAGGTCGGGACTTCTTCTGTGTCGAATAATAACGGCAACAGTGGGCATCCTTGTCTTGTCTTGATGTTAGAGGAAAAGATTTCAGTTGTCACCATTGAGTGTGATATCAGCTCTGGGTTTGTCACATGTGGCCTCATTGTGTGGAGGTGTGCTCCCGCTGTACCCACTCTGTTGAGAGTTTTTTTCATAAAAGGATGTTGAATTTTGTCAAAAAATTTTTCTGCATCTATTAAGAGGATCGCATGATTTTTATTCTTTCTCTCTTAGGTGAGACGGTAGTCCCCTCCACCCACTGAGCTGGGCACCGGCTCTGCCACCCACTGGGCTGGGCACCGGCTCTGCCATGCACCCCCCGCAGGACAGCACCTGCCCAGGTCACTGCAGGGGTCCCCAAGGGCCTCACACCCCACCTGCTTCCCGTGGGGCCTGCGTGGCTCAGCCTCTCGCCTGTGGTTTCCTCATCGATGTAGCCACGCTGTCTGTAGCTCAGCACAAGGACCACACGCCCCTCCCGTGGGTCAGTCAGCCACGCCCGTGATGAGGACTCGAGTTTGGCGTAAACCGCACCCGCCTTTGCTCTCAGTGGTGCCCCGAGTGCAGGTGACAATGATGGGAGCTCTCAGAATTAGCAACCGGAGAGAAGAGAAAAGCAGCACATCGCCCCCCGCACCCTCTCCCACGCCACCCCCTGCAGAGTCCCGTCTCCCCGACACCCCCCACCCCCGGCTCCATCCTCTGTAGCCTCAGGCCACCCAGGCGCCCGGAGCTAAGGGCATGTGAGTCTCCCCCAGGCCCCTCTCGTGGGGAAGCTGGTCGAGGAGCAGCCAGGGGCCGCCCAGAACCACCGTCCCTTCATTTCTCCTTTAATTGGTTCCTCATCAAAAAAAAAAGTAGAAAAAGAAAAAACGTCCCAAGTTAATTTCTCTGCACTGACGTCTGCGCTGTCGGTAAATTGCGTCCTGGAGGCAAGCGTGTGAGTCCGACGACTGCAGGTGGCGGTGATGCTTTTAGCTGTTTTCTATCCGAGACAAGTACAGTCAGAAGCCCCCAAACGCAGTCATTTATTTGTTTATTTATTAATCCTCACCCGAGGGCATTTTTCCATTGATTTTTAGGGAGAAAGAGAGAGAGACAGAAGCATCAATATGAGAGAGACACATCGATTGGTTGCCTCCTGCACACGCCCTGACCAGGACCCGGGCCGGGAGGAGCCCGCAACCCAGGCATGTGCCCTTGGCGGGAACAGAGAGCGAGGCGCTCGCCAATTTGAGACGCTGTTACCTGCCTGGGCCCCGCTCGCATCTCCTCCCCGAGATGAAACTGCTCCTGCACCGAAGGCCGAAGGCCGTTTCACAGAAAACGTCCTGCTGTTTCCCCGTCTCGCGGGGAGTCCCATTAGAGGCCCCGTTGGTGACAGCGAAAGACAGATGATGTCAGCGCGGCTCGGACAGGCCGCTCGATCTCCCTGCCCAGCAGAGGCGCTCCCTGCAGGCGGGGGCGGGTGCCTGCTGCCCAGGCATGTGCCCTTGACCAGAATCGAACCCGGGACTCTTCCGTCCGAAGGCCCACGCTCTACCCACTGAGCCACACCAGCCAGGGCCCCGACAGCTGTGTTTGACGCCCTGGGCTCCTTCTCCTCCCTCCTACGAGCCCGGGCACCGGCCATCCCACCTTCTCAGGGGGCCCAAGGCACCAGCCTCCCAGCCGAGCCCCTCGGGAGCTCAGACCCGTCCCCGGCCGA